ATACACCCATGAGGTGCAATTCCCCTGGAGGTCAGAAGAAGGCATTGGATCCCCTGGAACTGGGGTTACTGACTGTTGTTAGCCACCATGTGGGTGCTGGGAATTGAACCCAGGTCCTCTGCAAGAACAGTTGGAGCTCTTAATCTCTGAGCCATCTCTCCAGCTCCCTCTATTTTTAAGTGTATGTGTGTTTTACATGCAATTAAGTGCACCATGTGCATGCAATGCCTGAAAAGGCCAGAAGAGGGCATTGGATCTCCTGGAACTGGAGTTAGGACAGTTGTTAGCTGCCATGTGAGTGCTGAGAACAGAACCTGGGTCCCCTGCAAGAGCAGTCAGTGCTCTTAACTGCTGAGCCATCTTTCTAGCCTCCAACTGTCCTTTTTAAAATTTTGTTTTTAGAGCTGTTGGGGGCAGGTGGTGGTGCACGCCTTTAATCCCAGCACTGGGGAGACAGAGGCAGATGGATCTCTGTGAGAGCGAGGCCAGCCTGGTCTCCATAGTGATTTCCAGGTCAGCTGGAGCTACAGGGAGACCTTGTCTCAAAAAACAAAAAAATTATTTTTAAATATTTGTGTGTGTGTGTGTGTGTGTGTGTGTGTGTGTGCGTGCGCATGCCATGGTACATGTGGAGGTCAGAGGACAATTTGTGGGAGTCAGTTCTCTTCCACCATGGGGGTCTTGGTTTGAACTCAGGCTTGACAGCAAGCACCTTTACCCACTGAGCCATCTCACCCCCCAAGCCCCTGCCACTGGCCTTCTTGGAGTGATCCACACACTGTTCCTCACTAACCCCAGGTCTTTGTATATACTGTTTTCTCTTTGTGGAACATGCTTTCTCCTGACCACCTCATCCTTCAGGTCTCTGCCCCACATCACCCAGAGAAGCCTTTTAGGCCGGTCCCCATCACATGGTATCACATGCCATATAATTCTCGCTTGTAGCATTTATGGCAATTTGTGATCCTATATAAAAACACATGGGATAGTTACATCCTTGCCTACTCTCAACCTGCTTGTTACATGACAATGTAACAGGAGAAAGACGCTGCTCAGTTTCCCTTTGTTTTCTTCTTGGTTGCCGTATTCTTGCGTCTAGCACGTCCAGTGCTCAGTAAGTAATTATTGACTATAACAGTGATCGGAAAGGACAACTTAAGCCCAAGACTAGCACTAAGGCTAGAGTCAAGGACAGGACAGGACCAAGGTCAGGGCTAGGACCAAGGACAGTGTCTGGACTGGAAATTGGTTAGAAATCGCAGCCAAGCCAGAGGAGTCAGAGACCAGGCTGGGGAGAATCCCGGCTGAAGCAGATGGTACGTGCATTTTGGAAACTGTTGGCAGAACAGTTGGTGTGGTAAAGCTGAGCATATGCTACTGACCCTGCCGTGACTCCTGTGAACACAAGCAACATGGCACAACAGGTCACAGCACCTCCAGTGAGGAGCCACCAGCCGCCTCACATCAGCAGACTGTATTCAGTCAACTGTGGCTTGTTCACAGTGGAATAAAACAAATCAGTCAGGGGCTGAAGAGATGATTCAGCTGTTAGGAGCACTGGCTGCTCTTCCAGAGGACCAGACTTCGGTTCCCAGCACCCACATTGGCTCATAACTCCAGCTGCAGGGAATCTGATGCCCTCTTCTGGCATCCATGGGCACTTCACTCATGTGCATGTACACACAGAGACACACATGGACACAGAAATTAAAAAATAAGTATTTTTCAAAATGAAGCAGTGAGGGGCTGGAGAGATGCTCAGCAGTTAAGAGCACTGGCTGCTCTTGCAGGGGACCTAGGTTCAGTTCCAGGCTTATAACCACTGTAACTCCAGTTCCTGGGGATCCAGCAGGCACACATGTGGTACACACCCATACATACAGGCAAAAATACACACATAAAAAAAATCTTTTTTCTTCTGAGACAGGGTCTCACCATATAATCTTGGCTGGCCTGGAACTCCATACGTAGACGAGGCTGGCCTTGCGCTCACAGAGATCTGCCTGCCTCTGCCTCCTGAGTACTGGGATTAAAGGTGTGTGTCACCACATCCAACACCTAAGAATAAACCTTTTTAAAAGGAAGCAATGAAGGGATGGAGAGATGGCTCAGCAGTTAAGAACACTGTTCTTGCAGAGGACCCGGGTTCGAATCCCAGCACCCACATGGGCAGCTAACAACTGTCAGCTGACAGTCTCTTTTGTCCCCCTTGGGCATTGCACAACATGGGTGCTCTTACCTACATGCAGGCAATATATGCATACACATAAAATAAAAATAATAAATAATGTCCTGGAACTCACTATGTAGGCCAGGCTGGCCTTGAACTCACAGAGATCCACCTGCCTCTGCCTCCTGAGTACTGGGATTAAAGGTGTGTGTCACCACATCCAACACCTAAGAATAAACCTTGTTAAAAGGAAGCAATGAAGGGATGGAGAGATGGCTCAGCAGTTAAGAACACTGTTCTTGCAGAGGACCCGGGTTCGAATCCCAGCACCCACATGGTGGCTACGAACCATCCTTAACTCCAGTTCCAGGGGAATCTGAAGCCCTCGTCTGACCTCTGTGGCATTTCACGACATGGGTGCACTCACATACATGCAGGCAATACACTCATACACGTAAAATAAAATTAAAAAAGCCGGGCATGTTGGCGCACGCCTTTAATCCCAGCACTCGGGAGAAAAAAAAAAAAACAATTCTGGGACAGGTATGGTGATTCACAGCTTTAAGCCCAGCACACTTTTAAGCCCAGCATTTTGGAGGCAGAGGCAGGCAGATCTCCGTAATATTGAGGCCAACCTGGTCTACATAGTGAGTTCTAGGTCAGTGGGGCTACAGGGAGACCCTGTCTCAAAAAGACCAATAAATAAATAAATAAATAAATAAGTAAAAATAAAAATAAACAATAAAGTATTTAAAAAAAAGGAACCAACCCTACATCAACCATGGGTGTGTGCACACATAAAAATGTAGCATATACAGATATATTTGTCCACAAATATGAGCACACCTGTATATCAATCCATGTTTCGACCCGAATAAAACCACTGTATTTGCAGGTATGTGTGTGTGCTTGAGTACACCACCCCTCACCCCTGCTCCCACACCCGGTCGCAGGGTAATGCCTAAGAAAGTGGATTTTGTTGGGCCAGAGGGTAGCTGTGTGGGTCTGAGAGCTGAGCTGGAGTGCAGGACACCCCAAGGAGTCTCTCCCCAAGTGGGGAGCAATGTGTAGTTCCTGCTGACTTCTCCACGAGCCTGGAGGCCTCTAAAGAGTGTCCAGTCCCTTCTGAGCAGATGGCTTTGGTCTTGTTCCCATGTAGGTGGTGTGGGGTCTCTGCAGCAGGGAGGAGTACAGAAAGCCCACCGGCTTCTCTGGAAAGCTAGTCAAGAAGCCAGGTGAGGTTCTCGCCCGCCACACCCCAGATCCGCCTTCCCTGACCATCCTCCTTCCCCTTCTGTCCAGTTCCCTCTCTTGGCACTTGGCTAACAGGGAATTTGGGTGTCTCTTGTGTCTCTGAAGTGTGTTGGGGGGCTGGCCTCACCCTCTTGGCACTTTCTCACATTTGGAAGACTGGACTGGCAGGGGTGGGGGCAAACTGTGACTCAGCACCCTTGGTATTCAGTGTGTGGCCAACTCTGACACTTTGCTCACTGGGGACTGTAGGTCCCATCGGGTGGGGAAGGGTCAGACTTCCATGAGTGGTCTTCCATACCCATGTGGCCCTCTGCTCCTCTGCAACCCCCAGCCCCAGCCAAATCTGGCAATGAACGGTGAAGGCAGGATTCTAGGTGTGAGAAAGACTGGCAGTCTCAGGTACAGGGCCAGTAGGAGGCGGAAAGCCCGCCAGTGAGGAAAAGCTGGGGATTAGATGCATCTTATTCTGGGGAGTGAGCAGATGGTTCATGGGTATAGAAAAAACAAGAGAAGGGATTTCCGGACCCACAGTGGGAAAGGTCAGGAGGAAGGCGGGTTCTGAGCCTGCAGGAGCCAGGGCCAGAAAGTTTGATGAAGTGAGGTGTTAGGTCTTCAGGGGTGGTAGTGGCGAGGGAGAGCGGAAGGGGCTGAGATCCGGGAAGCTGAGGCGGGGCCGCAGCTGCTTCCCAGTAGTTCCCTTCATTCCACTTCCAGTGGCTTCTGAGCCATCGAATTCTTTCCAGGCGAGATAAGGGGAGCCGCCCGCCCCACCGGGGGGGGGGGCTGTCACGTGTATTGGGGGTGGACGGGAAGGTTCAGAGGAACAGAAGCAGGGGAGACTGAGAGGGGGACCAACGGAAGACAGAGCCCGGTGCCCTCGGGGACATCTCGCAGCCTCGGCAGCCCGGCTGAACTGTGAGTCATGGGTGCAGAGTTCTCGCCAAGAACAGGTTTAGGGATCGTCTCTGCAGGCTCCGTGCCTTTCCCAGATCCACACTGTCCCATTGGAGCACGGTCGAAAAACTCCCCAGACCCTGCCTTCAGCCCTGTACCACAGGTGTAGTTACCTGAGGAGCTCCCAGCTGGACCCCGGAAGCAGCTCCCTCTGGCCCTTCCTGGAAAGTCTCAGCAACTCCAGCCCCAGCACTCAAAATCTACCACCTTTCCTCCGAGGTCCAGTTGACAGATAGCCCCTAGCCTAGCCTTGTGCTCCCCACAGCCACAGCACCTGTGGATCACCACCTGCACCCTGGTGCCAACACTTGATTCCCAGAATCCCAGTTTGTTCCTGACCCCCCTTCAGGTGCCAGCATCCCATCCAAACCTTGGTGTGCGCCACTGCACAGGCACGCACATGAACACACATTTGCACATACACACGCAAGCATGCACACTGTCCTATCCTCCAGGGCACACCTCCACGAGAAGTCCTGTCCCAGTGCCCGATCCTATTTTCTGTCCTCAGAGGCAGTCCCTAGAACATTCCTGCCACATGTTCAGTTGTGATACGGGGAAGACAACTCCCTCACCTCTCCCACCTTCTCCTCCCCTGGGTCTCTCAGAGCTCCGTACTCACCTGCAGATGGAGTGGCTGCTACCCTCTGCACCTGCCTCGTCCCCCAATGAAAGATGTCTCAGGGCAGGGCAGGGCAGGCTCCCCTCGGCAGCCCTGGACTCCTGGCAGGGCCCCTGACTTGTCCCTTGCAGCGGAGGCTCACTGAGCCTCTACCAAGACTGAATCTCAAGGCAGGGACAGAGGAGGGAGCCTGCAGCAAGCAGGGGGAGGAGACAGGGAGGGCCAGCATGAGGTCAGGGAGGGGAGCAGAGATAGAGCAGGTCCTCCCATCCCTCCAGACCCTCCCACCCACCCCTCCCTGGCCAGGAGGCATCCCCCATACCCTCACCTCACTCCCCATACCCTTCCCCACTCTATCCTAGCCTCTTCCCACTCTAGTTGTTCCCAACTTGACATGCTCCATTCCTCTCTTTCCTCCAGGATTTCCTTCCCCACCTGTGACCCCCTTCTGCCCATTTCCTCTCTGCTGGTACCTTCCTTAACGCCAGCTCCTTCTCTCTCTCATCCCCAGCCTCCCCATCATCCCTTCCCCGCTGTTGCTCCAACTTGGACCTCACCCCACGTGCTGCTCAGCACCCCTTCCTTCCTCCATCCCTAAATTCTCCTTCTGTGCTGTGCTGGAGCAGAGATGGGGACAGGAGGCAACCCCTCCTCAGGCCTAAACCTTTCCAACCTAAGATCATTCCTGGGGCTCCCTCCTGCAATCCTCCCTCTCTGCCGGCTCAGTCCTGCCTTTCACTGTCCATTCTGCCCAGCTCCTCTCCGGTTCTCACTGCCCCCTTTTCGTTCTCACGCCTCAGCAAATTCCTCGAGAAATAGCGAGTGAGACTTGGGCACCGGCTGGGCAAAGGCTTGGCCGAACACCAGGGCATATGACTTGAGAAAGAAGTAGGAGTTGAGGGGAGCTAGGGAAGGAAAGCCTCCTGAAGATCAGGAGGCTGGTGTAGGGATAACCAAACAGCTAGAGGCAGGAAACAACATGGTGGTGTTGAGCCAAGTGTCCCCCAAGGAGGCACTGATAGAACTTTTGCCACAGAGGGCAACCCCCACTCAGGCTCTGCACCGAGGACCATTACTCTACCCCACTGCAAGCCTTATTATTGAGGGGCATGCACCTTAGCCAGGCCAAGTGGTGGCTGGAGGGATTTGAAGGGTCCCATATGTATCTGACACCACATTGTGGCACAGGTATCTCCAGTCACAGGTGTGCCTGTGAAAAGACAGGCTGGCACAGCATGTGACTTCAGTCACCGCTGCCATCCATGTGGCAAGAAGCAGCAGCACACACGAGCTCTCGCATGGGTGTACCCGTGTGTCCGTGTGTCTGGGTGGGTGTCTGGTTTTTTCCTGGCTTTGATGGGGAAGATGAAGTCAGCATCTGGGATAGAGCTGGGCCTAGCCTCCTTCCTCTGCCTTGGCCTGAATCCCCCAGGAGTAGGTAAGTGTCCTCAGACCTCCCAGGGAGGGGAACAGTAGATGAAGAGAAGAGAGGGGGTCTTCAACTGTGCCACAGTGAGTGTGGATGTCGACCCCTCAGATTTCAGGAATCTGTTCCATGGTCATCCACTTCCCCCTAGATCCAGTGTCTTTTATTATTTAGGAGGTAGGCTCACCATAAATCTATGTGGCCTCTTTAAGTGGCCAGGAGCCTCAGATCGAAGCTCGAACTAGGGCAGTCTGGAGACTAGATGCTGGAGTCGAGGACAGGAACGTGAGGACCCACTCTACACGCTTACACTGAGGAAAGGACTACAATCTGACATAGGTCCTGGTTGTGAGTGTCCGGGAGCTGCCCCACTCCTGGGCTCCAGGCTTTTGAAAGAGCTCATCTCATACATTTCCATCTCCTCTGAAAAGCACCAAGCCCTGAATAGCACAGGTGTCAGGAATGCTCAGCTCTGCACCATGAGAGGACTGGGGAAGGAAGACAGAGCTGGGGTGTGAGGGCAGGCAGCACAGGGGTCCCAGCAGGACTGGCCTGTGTCCTGGGTGGTGGCTAACAAGGTCATGGTGTCGTCTAGAACCATGTGCTCTTGCTGTCCCCCAGGATCCTCAGTCCAGGGGTCTTCCCTTCTGGGGATAGTCTATCCTTGAATGATCCTTCAAGGTCCTGTCCTGACCTGAAGAGGTTAGGGGATAAAAGACAGAAAAGAGGAAAGGAAGCAGAGGGCACGGCCTGAAGGGCACAGTGGAGAATGCAGGGGAGGCCAGAGGCTGTGACCCAGGAAAGCAGTTCCAGAGAGGGAAAGCTGGAAACACTTGGCCCGGGCTTCCGTTCACAGCAGCTCCCCACACAGAGTGGGTAGTCTGCTCATCCTCTGAGGTGAATGGAGAATCATGGACACTGTGTGGCTTGTTAGTGGAGGGCAGGGTGGACCTCACCAGGGTTTCCTGATTCCAAAGCCTATGTTCTCTCCCCTGCCGACAGTGCTGGGAAAGGAAAGGCCTGGAGACAGTGACAAACATGGCTTGAAGGCCTTGAGAAGGAAGGCTTCGTGAAGACTTTGAGGGTAAAGAACTTGGACTCTGAGCTTTCTTTCTTCCTTTGCCCAGTTATTGTGATTTGATGAGACTGGCCTACGATGGGGGTGGTCATCCATTGTGGAGAACGGAGGGGCACAGGGCGAGGGTGGGGAACGTGGAAAGAAAGGAGCTTGAGAAGGGTGGGGAGGCCCAAGAGGCCAGGGATGAGCAGGGGCCAGAGCACCACAGAAGGATCTGGACCCTTCAAACACCCTTCGCCTAGAGACATGGGTGTGGGGAGAAGGAGGAGGGAGGACATTTCTATCTCGTGACAAAAGAAAGTCACACAATTGTTTTGTTCTCTGCTCTGGAGCGGGTGGGCGCCTGTATTTACCAGAGGGACTGAGGTCGCTGTGGCAACCACACATCTGGGCCCCGGAATCCAGATGTGCTGTATCCAGAAGCCATAGCAGAATGATGAGGCAAACATTAGGCTCCCCAGTCTTGGCCCCCACGGCCGGAGAAGAAGACTGAGCCTGGAGCGAAAAGCAGAGAGGGGAGGGAGGCAAAGGCTGGAGGGGGGGAGAGGAAATAAGGGACAGGACAAGGAATCTGGACAAAGTAGTGAATGGGAAACGGGGGAGGAGGCCCTACAAGGCCAGCAGCAAGACATGGGAGAGGACAGTGAGGCAGAGGAGGGGGAGGATGCAAAGGGAGTGAGAAAAAAATGATGGGAAGAGTCAAAAGGGTGAGAATGAACGGGTGGATAGAGGGGGAAGCTGGGCAAAGGAGGGTCAGGGATAGTGGGGCCAGCAGTGAAGGACAGAGAGGCTCCAGGGGAAGAGGTAGTCCAGAACACAGAACAGAGAGCATACGCCTCGAGGAGGAAGGGGCCCATGAGGGGAAGGAGTGACAGTGGCCTGGCATGCTGCGGTGCCCTTGGACAACATGGTGGGCAGAGGAATGGGTGCCCATGCTGGCCTAGGGGGCAGCAGTCAAGCCTGCCCTCACCTAAGGCCTACATGCTGTCTCCTGGGCTCTCCTAGCCACGCCCCCAAATCAGGAATGGCCTGAGTGCCCATGCGCAGAAGAGGTCTAGGGAGGCCCATTCTGGAGCCCCCAGTGTGGGATGCCAGCACTTAAGCACTTTCCCAAGTGGGTTGTGGCAACAATGATGGGCCGAGATAGGATAAGAGGACACAAGGGGTCAAGGGCTAAGGCCACATGCCTAGTAGACCAGGCACAAGCCCTGCCTTTCCCAGATCTACGCTGAGAAGTAGGGAGGAGGGTGGCATCTTGCAGACGAGGATGAGGCCCAGGGTTTTTAAGGACATCATTCAATGCAAGGCCCATTGCGGAGTCCAGGACCAGGCCATCTGCTTCCAAGATTCAGGTTCTCATGGCACTTTCTGCTGGGATAAGATGCTCAAGGGATCCTGGGAAAGGAAGTGGCTGAGGACCAGGGTTGCCCTCTGGAGAGAGGAGAGGCTGAGTTCCTGGGAGCCCTGGTTCCAGGTTGCCATAGTTCCCCAGCTTGTTTTCACCCCAAACACAGTAGGGGTGGTGGAGGGATGGGGAGAGCCTGGCTGGACACGTGAGGTGCTTACCCCCTCCCTCGGGCTGGGCTTATAGCCAGGCAGCCCCTGTCCAGTCATCTGGGCGTGGAGCCCAGGTCCAGCTCACACCCTCTGGCTAACCCAGGCCACTCCTGCAGGGTCAGGCCTGAGGTGCTGCTGGATAGAGCAGCTGCAAGGGATCCTGCAGACATGGGGGGGAGTTCGGCCTCCCATCTGGACCTGGGCCCTTTCCTCCCCATTAGAGTACACAGCAACTGCTGCTCCTGCATGTCTTCATCACCTGGACCCTCCGGTCTTGGTCTTCTTTGATTCAGGATCAAGAGGATGTCCCATGCGCCCCCCCCCACCAGCCCCCCTCCACAACAGCCCCACCTTCTTGGGCTCTGAGCCCTCTGGCCCTTGCTCCTGTTGTTTGTGTGAACAGCTCATCCTGGAAAGGGGGGTGGGGGAACTCTGCTGCAGAGCAAGGACTCACTGCTGCGCACCCTGAAGGGCGTTCCCCCTTCCTGTTTACTCAGACACATTCCAGTGATCTGCATTATCTGGTGTCACGCCACAGATATCCTTGCTAGACACAGACACCCTGGAGTTGCAAGGGTGCGGCATGGGGATGGCAAGAGGTCTGGAGTCCACCCCATGACACCCCAGGGACATCCTCAGTGTTTGGTCCTTTGATGCTGGCCCTGTAGAAGTCACACAGCAGGGAGGCAGCCACCATTCCCTGAACACCCTCCAGGTTGTTTTTTATTAATAATAAAAAAAGATATGCACACACATAAACTGACTCCACCTCCTCCGCTCTAACATGTAGGAGCATCCCTTGACCCACCTGGGGATTCAATTCCCACCTCGACTGAACAGAACGGCTAAAGAATAAAGAGGGTGTGGGAGGCTATGCATCCACAAACTGGACCTCACGAAGTACCCTCAGAGGAAGAGGAGGCTGAGGGTATACAGGAATGAGGGGAGCCCTATATTCTGAAGAGTTTAGAAGAGGTGAACCACCCCACCCCACTCCCACATAAATGTTTTATCCCTACACGCAGCTTTTCCTTTACCAAGGGCCCCAAGCCCAGGTTATCAGGGAGGTCTGAAACCATCCCACCCGGTGACTTGGTACCCCACCACCACTCCAGGCCTAAGCCAACGTGAGCTGCAGAGGTCAGGGATGGCTGAGGTAGAGGGGCTGGTGGGAGGCCTGATGGGCCTGACTGGCTGCGGAAACTGGCAAGGGGCCACCTGTGGTATTGCCCGGGGTTGGGGATGGCTGCTTTCGGAGCGAGGGGGGCACGGTGGAGGTCTTGATGTGAATCACCCTGGTGTCCATGACCTCACACTCGATCTGCATCATCTCCTCATAGTCCCCTGAGGCCCCCCGGCCTGACACAGTCTCTGTGAGAGGAGAGGGAAGCAGATGGCAGGGAGGAACATGAGGGAAGTTGCAGTGACGGGAGGCAGAGGCCCAAAGGGGGGTTCAGGGGGTGGCAGGGATGTCCAGGGCAGGAGAAAGGAGAGGAAACAAAGGACAAGGGAGAGTGAAGGGTCACAAGGCAGAGACCAAGAGGAACCGGAAGTGAGGCCTAATGGCTCCACCCACCCACGCTACCACAACCTATCAAAGCAGTTTCACCTGAGTTTTGATGTTTTTCTGAGACAGGGTCTCATTGCGTGGCTCAGACTCCCTCTGCCCGCTGGCCTCCAATTCCCGAGCCCTCATCTGTACTCCTTTGCCCGGCACTCAGCACTCCGAGCTTGGCCCGGCCTCTGAGCCTCACCCTCCGGACAGCCCCCTCCTCCCACCTGCTCCTTTAGCGCCCCCTGCTGGATCTCACTGCAGGAATTTCCCCTTCCTGAGTTTCAGATTTCAGAAACCACCCAATAGCCAGCGAAAATTACCATTGGGGGCCATGGCTGGCATCACCAGGGACATCTTAGGCCGGGATGTCTTGTTGTGGCTGATGGCTGGGAGCAGCAGGTGGTCCTGGAGCAGAGGCCGTGCTGGGTGGTGAGTTAGCACCCACCGGCTCCCCAGCTCGGCCCCAGCCCTCCACTGATGAACAACCTGCCCCAGGGTGACAGACCGGAGGGCAAGAGGGAGAAACTCACCCTTCGGAAGGAGACAACATAAAACGTGTCTTCCCGACGATCAATTGCATCCAGGAACTCTGGCTGTGACCGGTCTGGGTGGCGATAGAGCTGCAGTTGGCCCACAGAATCTCTAGGCAGGTGGGAAGGGATTTGGGATAAGCCCAGTGTCCGGTGCCCAAGGAGAAGCAGAGACATCGATGGGGGGGAGCAAAGTCCTGTAGGTGATGATGGTGACAGCTCCTGGGGGTAAAGCTCTCTGGGGTGATCTCACTCAATAAGTAGTCCCCCAAAACTCACCGTTCAGGAGGTCCTGGGGGCTGAGTGGGGACCGGCCTCACCGGCGGTGACTTCTTCCGTAGCTGTGGCTTCTGGAAGGAAATGTATCTAAGGCTTCGGAGACGGTAGAGAGACAAGGGAAAGAGGGGCGGTCCCTGGAAGCGTGTCCCCAGACAGTCCCTGAAACCTATGCAGGGTGTCCCCACCTTCCTGACCACCCTGCTGGCTCTCACCTGTCTCTCCTGGGCCCGCTGAGGCGTCTTCCGTCGGCCTCTCTGGTGGCGCTGGACCCAGCCACTCAGCTCGTCAGCAAGCCTGGGGAGACACAGGAGGGTGACTGCCTCTACGCCAGGCCAAGACGCAGAAGGCAGGGGACATGTGCTTCAGCACACAAGGACGGCTGGGCTGCTGGAGAGAGCCTGGAAGGCCAGGAGAGGGCACACACCTCAGGGACTCAGTTTTGTTGAAGTGCCGGCAGTCGGAGGAGAGGAAGAGCTGGTCTAGGTCTCTCAGGAGTAGCTCCTTGGCCCCGCCGGGGAAGGTCGTCAGGTTCCTAAGTGAAGCAGGAAGGAGGCAGTGACCAGAGACTGCCCAGCCCTGGGCATCAACAAGGAAGGCACCTTGAGCAAGAGTGGCTTCGGCTCTGCTCAGTGCAAAGGCAGCTTTTAGGAAGACATGCTCCTCGTCCTTAAAGGAGAAGGGCCCTTCTCACCTGAAACTAGGCCAGCCTGCAGGGCTGGGCTGTGGCTCCTCAGGGCTCTGGGCAGCTCCCTGGAGGGGCTCAACTCCGCCAACCGGCTCTTGCTCTGAGAACTCCAGCAGGTGTCTCTGGAGTTGAGGCTCCTCTCTGTTCATCCGAGGAGAGATGGGAGTTGGAGGTGGTTCACTGATGCTGTGGACAGGGAGCAGAAAGGCCAGGCATTCCAGCTTTACCAAGGGTGGTTCCGAGTCAGGGCTCTACAATCTGGACTCCTGCTCAACAAGACCGAGTCTCCCCCAGTGAGGAGGGAAAGGGAAGGATGCACACCTCACAGGCCCAGGAAATGAGGCAAGCACTTACTCTAGTGCCTGGCACTCAGTGAGCCCTTCAGAGTCACCTCTGTGGATGGGTGTGTATGGGGTGCTGTGTGTGTATCCATGTGTGTGTGCACATGGAAGCCAGAGGTCAACCTGGCCGTCATTCCTCAGGCGCAGTTCACCTTTTCTGAGACATGGTCTCTCACTGGCCTGGAGCTCGCTGATTGGGCTGGGCTGGCTGGAGCCAGCTGCCTCCTCCCTGCTGGGTGACAGGTGCAGGCTGCCACATCTAGCTTTTTCTGCGCAGGTTCTGGGGATCAACTCGGCTCCTCACACTTGTACAGCAAGCACTTTACTGACTGGGCTGTATCCCCAGCCCCTAGTCACTTTTTATTAGCATTATCATCATCACCCACGCCATCATGTCCCAGCTATGAAAGAGCCAGCAGGGCCACCAGTGGCTGCTGTATGCTGTCAACACCGAGGACACCAGCAGTGCTCATGTAAGTGGAGCAAACGGCCCGGGCCGAGCAAGCCATCAGGCAGCTATGAGACTGAGCTCCACCCAGAAGGCTCTGGGGCAGCGCTGAGCGTCTCACCTGACAGGTCCAAAGTTGAAGGCGATGAAGAGAAGGAAGACCACGATGCACAGCGCCTTCCTGTTCCCGGACCCCAACTTGAGTTCGCTGTTCTAGGTGGGGAGGAAGAGACAGGACAGGCAGGATGTACCCATAAGCAGCCCGTGGTGCTGCCGGGCTCCAAGGACAGCCAGGCTTACCTCGGCCAACAGGGCCTCCAGCCGCCGCCGGAGGGCAATGTTTTCCCTCCGCAGCTGCTGGTTGTCGGCCAGCACCACCTGCAACCTGGCCTCCAGCCCCTGCAGATACTCCTTCTTCTTCCGCCGGGACTGGCAGGCTGACTCTCTGTTCTTGATCATTCGCTGTTGACGCTTCAGCAGCTTTGCCTACACCAGCAGGTCGCAGGATCAGGAGGGACCCCGACTGCCCCACGGACCCATTTCCCAGTGCTCCTGCCTTCCTGACCTCCACTACAGAGCCAGAGAGGGACTTTCTCCTACTGAAATGTTCCTGGGAAAGGCCCTCCTGCTCCTCAGCTGTGGGACAAGGTAAGATGGCAGGAGGGTGTCATCTTGGTGGAACTGTCCTTGGTACGCCTGTCTTCTCTCTGGTCCTCTTTCAGAGCCCACAGTTTAACCTTGCTGTTAAGAACAGTTTACTGGGGCTGGAGAGAGATGGCTCAGCAGTTAAGAACACTGGCTGCTCTTGTAGAGGACTCAGATTTGATTCCCAGCACCCACATGGTGGTAACAACTGTCAGTAACTCCAGTTCCAGGGGATCCAGTGTCCTTTTCTGTCCCCTGTGGGCACTGCATGACATCGATGCACTTACACACATGCAGGCATAACACCCGTACATATGTAATAGTAATGAAAGAACGGTTTACGCAGCTTTCCACTAGGAGACAACTTCGGTCCCATACTCCTGCAACCCCACCCAAGTGGGGCTGTCTGCCTTGGACTTCCCGAGTCCACCCTACTTCTCTGAGCAGTAGAAGCACACCTACCTAAAAATCTAAAACCACGTACAGAAGAGGTCCGCCCACCCCAGGGCTGTCCTACTGGTCTCAGTCCTCACTTTGTGCTCCTGGATCTTAACTCTCCCCTCATCCCCCGGCTATCTCCAAGATAGGCTTCCTTCTTCCCCTCCCATCGTGAGCGTCTCTCCTCCCCAGCACGTACATCCACTTCAGGTGGGCCTGAGTTCCCAGGCATAGGAGCCGGCACGATGCTCTTCCTCTCGGGTCGGGGAACAGCTGGAGTGGGCCCTTCAGGTTGGACTCGGATAGCACCTTGGATGAGGACTACTGGGGACACTGGGCAGGCAGGCAGAAGAAAGTCAGAGGGCAGTGTTAGGTGGGCTCCCAGGGTCCACACTCACACCCAAGCACTCAAGGACCAGGGACCACAGTAGCAGAGCACCCTGATAGGTCCATCCAGCCCACGTCCCTCTCCCTCTTCCACACCTGCAGGCTGCTGGACAAGGGGCAAAAGGACAGTGGTGCTGGGAGGCCCGGCTCTGGGTGGCATCTGGACAGCGGTTAGCACCACGGGTTTGGGCTGCAGTGTGGGCTTCCGTGTGGCTGGAGGAGCTTTGCCTGAGGTGAGGGGAAGGAATGAAGCTCAGGCCTATACGTCCTTTCCCGGGGATTCCAGGGGTCATGAGGCCCCATTACCTGAGGAACTATCAGGGGATGGACCCATGCTGATCTGGACAGCTCCAAGTGAGGGGGCTGGAACATCCCACAGGAGGCATCCTGGAGGGGACGGGGATTCTGTCTTCACCTCCAGGACCTCCTCTCCTACAAAAGCCTATGTAGGGCAGGCCAGAGATGTTAGTGGGGAGGAGTGGAAGGAGAGAAGCTTTCACACCCCTGGAGGGGCTCCAGGGGAGAGGGCATGTAGTCACCTGGCTTGGGGAGTCGGCTGGGAGCAAGGAGGCCTCGGAGTTGACAGAAGACGATGGTGAGGCAGGTTCTACCTTGGTCTGGATATCTGTAGGGTGGCGGGTAGAAAGAAAAGCTGGCTGTCAGGTGGAGAGGAAGGGGGAGTGGGTTCAGAGGGAGACAACTGTTGTTTCTCTTTCCAGTTAGAGACACAATTACTGTGGTCCTAGGCCAGCAACCTGGGGAGCTATGGAGCTATGGGCTCTCCTGCCTTCCCTGGATCTTCCTTTCCATTTCAGTGGCTCCTGACTTCTCTCACCACCACTGCTCGTTTTCCTCGAGGCTGTCGCACTCTTCGGTGGTTTGGCTTCCTATTTTCAGTTCTGCACAGACTCTCCAAGAGCCTGGCGGGGGAGCCTGGGCATTCACCAGGCCTCTCCTGCTCATTTCAACCCCTTCCTGGCCAATGTGCTACCCAGCCCGCCGACTGCCACGCCTAAGTCTGCAGACCGGCTTGCCGGCTTGCCCAAATCCTCTCTCCCAAACTGTCTGCTCCATTCTCACGTCCCCCATGCACTTAAACTTAACTGGCCATGAAGCAGGCTTGCTGCCTTCCCCTCAAACATGTCAGCCTCCCAGGGTCAAATCATGAAGCCTGAGTTACCTCAGAATATCGAAGGCTTCTGCTAAACCTCTACAACTCGCTGATCACCCATAGAACAAACGCTAGGTCCCATACGGATCAAACAAAACTCATCCAAGGGTCAGATTTCAGCCCAAAGGCCACAAGTCCACCACTACCTCTGGCTCACACCATTTTGGTACTTAATTATACTGTTGCTAGTGCTGCTGTTTTAAATCAGTTTATTTATATTTGAACAGGTTAACAGTCCTGATACAGATGCTAAAGGAAGTGCTGTCATACAATACAGATCTCAAAGGAGCAAACGGGAAATCGGTGAGAAGCACGGCCATCCTCGGCCCTCTACTTAACTACAGCAAATTATAACCCTCATAAAACTCTCCAAAAGTGGCCAGGCATGGTGGCACACGACTTTAGTCCCAGCACTTGGGAAGCAGAGGCAGGCAGATCTCTGTGAGTTCGAGGCCATCCTGGTCTACATAGTGAGTTCTAGGTCAGCTGGGGCTACAGGGAGACTCTGTCTCAAAAAGACCAAAACAAAACAACACAACTTTCCAAAAGCAAGAACTGCCCATCTCTCAGAATGATGGATAAAGTACAGGCCTCCACAAAACACCTATATAGATGGAACCTGGCTTTTATAACACTACGCAAAGTAGTCAATAACCTTTGCTGCTAGAGGTGTTGTAATTCGTGGGGTGAGTCCTCTTTGTAACATCTGACAACCTGCTAGAAATGTCCCCCCTGCACCCCAGCCAGGCTCCATCCTTCCCTACTGTGAAGGTTAAGCCTCATCCTCACCTTGATTGGATTCAGAACAGCAGAAACACACATGTGACTATGCCTAGAAGGGTGGTTTCCTTAAAGATTTAACTGAGGGAGGGAAGGGCACCACCCCGTGGACTGGGGTCCTCAATGAAGATAGGAGAAAGTGAGCCAGGAACCAGCATCCATGTCCCGACCCCTTCCTGACAAGATGGTGGGGCCAGTCACCTCAGGCTCCTACCATCACTGCCTTCCTCCCATGAGGGATACACCCCCACGTACCACCATCACTGCCTTCCTCCCCATGAGGGATACACCCCCACGTACCACCATCACTGCCTTCCTCCCCATGAGGGATACACCCCCACGTACCACCATCACTGCCTTCCTCCCCATGAGGGATACACCCCCACGTACCACCATCACTGCCTTCCTCCCCATGAGGGATACACCCCCACGTACCACCATCACTGCCTTCCTCCCCATGAGGGATACACCCCCACGTACCACCATCACTGCCTTCCTCCCCATGAGGGATACACCCCCACGTACCACCATCACTGCCTTCCTCCCCATGAGGGATACACCCCCACGTACCACCATCACTGCCTTCCTCCCCATGAGGGATACACCCCCACGTACCACCATCACTGCCTTCCTCCCCATGAGGGATACACCCCCACGTACCACCATCACTGCCTTCCTCCCCATGAGGGATACACCCCCACGTACCACCATCACTGCCTTCCTCCCCATGAGGGATACACCCCCACGTACCACCATCACTGCCTTCCTCCCCATGAGGGATACACCCCCACGTACCACCATCACTGCCTTCCTCCCCATGAGGGATACACCCCCACATACCACCATCACTGCCTTCCTCCCCATGAGGGATACACCCCCACGTACCACCATCACTGCCTTCCTCCCCATGAGGGATACACCCCCACGTACCACCATCACTGCCTCAATAAGTGTCTGCTGAATAAATACGTAAACAAACTGAATAACATAAAAACAGCACAGATGATGTAGAATCAAGGAGTTATATATACAGTATTCAAAACCTTTAAGTATTATTAAAATTTTTTTTAGAAATATTCATTTTTTTTTTCAGTCTTTTTGGGCAGGGTCTCCCTGTAGCCTCAGCTGTCCTGGAACTCACTATGTAGACCAGGCTGGCCTTGAACTCACAGAGATCCGCCTGCCTCTGCCTCCAGTGTGGTGGGATTAAAGGCATGCACCACCATACCTGGCCTTTTATTTATTTTTATTTTATGTCTGCATGTAGGCAAGTGCACCTGTGTCATGCAATGCCCACAGAGGTCAGAAGAGGGTGTCAGGTCTCCTAGAACTGGAGTTACAGACAGTTGTTAGCTGCCATGTGGGTGCTGGGAACTGAACCTGGGTCCTCTGAAGGAGCAGCCAGTGCTCTTACCACTGAGCCATCTCTCTAGTTTTTTATAACAAACTTCTGGAGAAAGCTGGAGGCAGTGGTATGTACCTATGGTCATAGTGCTTCGGAGACTGAGGCAGGAGGATCTTAAGCCCAGGAATTGGAGGCTAGCCTGGGCAACACAGTGAAACCCAGATTACAAAATAAAAGAGCCTGATGTGGTGACACATGGCTTTAACCCCAGAACCTGGGAGGGAGAGAGAGGGGGAATCTCTGAGTTCAAGGCCAGCCTGGTCCACAAAGCAAGTTCTGGACCAGCCATGTTACATAGTGAGACACTGTCTCAAAAAAAAAAAGAGAAAAAGAGAAAAAGATGTGTGTATGTTAATAAATATGGCCCAAACTTTCCACAAGTTGGGTTTTTTAAATTTTTAAAAATTTGTTATTTTTATTTTATGTGTATGAGTGTATTGCCTGCTTGTACGCAAGTGCACCCATGTCGTGCAATGCTCTAGATCAGAACAGGACATAGGATCCCCCTGGAACTGGACTTACAGACGGTTGTTAGCATGTGGGTGCTGGAAACTGAACCCGGGTCCTCCACAAAGCTGGGTCCTCTGCAGGAGCAGCCAGTGCTCTAACCACTAAGCTATCTCTCCAGCCCCCACAAGTTCTGTGTGTGTGTGTGTGTTTTTTTTTTTAAATGCAAATCAATGGTAGGCCCAAGGACACAGCTGGGCAATATAAAAGAGTCGGTGTCATCTCCCCCCTCACTGCTGCCCTTGGTTTAGTTTCTAATCCTCCTTCTTCCCAGCTAGTACTAGTGACCTGCACCTCACTTTCCCACCTGTTCCTCTCTCTGTCCACACGGATGCACACACTTGACCTTGGCAAAGCTGAGGGGCAGTTCTTAAGGACAGGGGCAAGCTGTGGTTACCTGACGCATCATCAGAGGCAGAGCCCACGGTGATCTGCACTGTTTCAAATGGGGATACTGGATCATCTCCCAGCAGGCAGAGTGGGGGTGCTAAGGACTCGGTCTTCACATGCAGAACCTCCCCTACTATACAGGCCTGTATGAGCGTTGGGGGGTGGGGGGGCAGGAAGGCAGAAAAAAGACAAGAGAGATGCTCAGAAGAGGAGGACGAACAAAAGCCCAAGAGCTTACAAACCACTCATGATCTGCGCTGTGGTCTCAAGGCCATCTCTAGCCCTTTGTTCTTTTCTCTAGTTTATTCCTAGGAGAGCTGACCAAGTCTCATGATGGCAAATATCACATTACAGTGGACCACCTGGCTAGGAACAATTTCAGAATTCTCAGCACTTAACAGCTCTTTATGTATTAAAATGGCTCCATGTAGGAAACCAGGATGCCAGGCCCTAGGGTGAGGTGAGCCTAAAACTTATAGGTCCAGGCTGCATTCTCTGCTAATAGGGAGGGGCACTGAAAACAGTGGCTCTGATAATCCCTGTCTTGCAGAAAAGAGTCTTGGTCAACAACCCTTAGCTCATCTCCTTGTCCTGAACAAATAACTCAGCTATCCCTGGCTAAGAGATTAGGCCAGGTTAAAGGTTTACTCCTGAGCTAAAAGCTTATAAGTTTACCATGTTTTAGCTCTAAGAAAGAAAACATTGTGGCCAATAAATTACTGGATGGGCATTGATAGCCTTGAGTAAAAGTTTAAGAATCCTTCTGGCGCCAACTAACAGACTAAATGTCCTGTTTCTTTGTACCCTAAATCTTTGTATGTGACTGTCATATCCCACGTGACTGCTAGTTCCTTGGGATGTATAAAAACCATCTGAATTTTTTATAAAATAAATTGTCCTGTTGGGAAGACACAGGTCCCAGAGTTTATGACTCTGTCGCAGATCAGACCCTCTGCCCCGAAGCCAGCAGATCCCCCGCTAAGCAAAGCAAACCTGAGTCCCGACAGCTCCATCATGGGGCTGGAGAGCTGGTGGCTAAGCAGGAAAGAGCACTGGCTGCTCTTGCAAAGGACCCAGGTTTGGTTCTTAGCACCCATATGGTGGCTAAAAAACCGTCTGTAACTCCAGTTCCAGGGGATCCGATGCCTTCTTCTGACCTTGGAGGGCACTGCATGACACGGGTGTACTTACATGCAGGCAACACACTCATACATACAAAATAAAAATAACAATTTTTTTTTTTTTTAAAGACTCCATCTTCACTTCTAGACTACCAGAGTGGAAGTCTGGAGAATGAAGGTATTATGACAAACCCTTGCTTCATGACTCACAGTGCAAAAATAACTTCCTCAGTTAGTTATGAGTGAACAGAGCCCCCCTAAGGCACTGGAGGGAGGCCAGTCTCACCTGGCTGGAAGGCTCGGTAGAAAGCTGTGATGATTCTGAGCTGAGGGAGGAGGAAGAGCAGGGAGAGGACGGCTCAGACTTCACCTGAAGATCTAGAGGGAAGGGAGTCAGGAAATAACCAGGAGGACTGAAGATATAGCTCCTCATTAAAGCGCTTGTCTTACATGCATGAGGCCCCAGGTTCAACGCTTCAGTAAAAATAATAACCAAGCATCAAGGCCTGAGAAGGGTCTAAAAACTGTGGGGAGGGGCTGGAGAGCCAGCTCAGCCTTTAATAGCACTGGCTGCTCTTACAGAGGACCCAGGTTCGATTCCCAGCACTGATGGCGGCTAACAACCGTCCAGAACTCCAGTTCCAGGGGATCTGACGCCCCCCTGTGACCTCCAAGGGCATTGCATGACATGGGTGCACTTAGATGTATGCAGGCAGTACATTCATACACATAAGATGAAAATAATAAATAAAATGTTTTTAAAAGTGTGGTGTTGAGATGGGGGTGGGGTGTGAGGATAGACAACACACATTAGGGATCAAAGAAGAGCACACAGGAACTTCTGGAGAGCGTGTGAGGGTAACGGGGATTGCAGTTTCTGGGTCACAATGAGGAAGATAATGGCTCCGGGAAAGACGGGGGAAAGATAAAGGCTAACTTACCTGGGAAGATAGGCAGGGAGTCCCATGGGGGCTCAGGGGGGCTGACGTCCATCCCCAAATCCAGTGCGCTGTCAAACTAAATAATGCAGGCTATCAGCGGGCAGGAACGTGAGCACATAGGGGTGACTCTCAGATGAACTCAGGCTTGGAGATAGAAGAGCAGGTTTGGGGACCATTCCCACCCACCAAGGATGAGAGAAACGCTGGGTAGCAATACCGGGACATCCTGCTCCACGCTGCGGAACAGCTGCGTCTGCTCCTCGGACACTTCATCCAGGCCGGCATACAAGGTGCTGTCTGCAAGGAGCCGGGCTTTTATCAAAGACCATGCCAGCCCCGCCCCATTCCTCATTGGCTCGGCAGGGCAGACCCACCGCCCGCCCACTCCCGCAGGCAAGATATCCCAGCCCTTCGCCCGACCCAAGGGCAGCTCGCAGGGGCAGCTCGGTGCTCCCGCCGGGGACCCAGCTCCCCCCCACCCCCGCCATCCCGCATCCCCTGGGAGCACCACTCCCGCGTCCGCCCTCCTCTTCCTCTTTCTGCCTGCTTCCCTTCGTGCTTCCGGCCCCGGCCGGCCACAGCCCCTCCCGCCCCGCGGCCTCACTCCGCACACCCCAGTCCTCCGGGCTCAGTAGGTTGTCGGTGAAGAAGCGCGTCGGGTCGGCGATCTCGCTAAGGAGCATCAGCTCCGCCATCTTCCCCCCACCCCCCACCCCGAGCCGGCTCCCGAGCCTGCCTCTCCGGGGCTTCGGCCAATGCATGGGCTCGCTGAACAAAGTGGGGCGTCCCGGAAGTCGTACTGACCAGTCAAAGACCCGGGTGCTGAGCACATGGGGCGAGAAGCGCGCTGACTGTACAGCCCGGACCAATGGAAACGCGGCAAAGGGACTCTTCCCCCCACCGCTCCCCGCCAGCAGCTTCAGGCAGCGAGATTGCGCACGCGCCGAAGAGGCCGCGGCGCCAAGGCTGCTGGGAAGTGTAGTCCCAGGGTTTAAAGTTCCTTAAACTATGACAGCTTCTCCATATTTTAGGAGATTGTAAGTCTAGTCCCACAAAGGGGCTCACAGATGCCATTGCTACCCGGCCCTCCTATATGTGGGAATAGGATATGGGCTGAAACCCTCCTTCTGCCCCCCTCCCAAATCCCACGCCACAGATCACAATTCACAGGTTCCTGTCTCTTAAGGTTTAACTTTTTAATCAGCCAAACATCTTGCGCAGACCCTGAGCCAGCCCTGCATCTTGTTTCTTGCCCTGAATGACCACCTTCCCCAGCTCCTCCTGGGCTGCACGGTTTTTGGGATCCACTGCTAGCACCTTCTTGAGGTCAGCAGTTGCTTTTTCCAGGTTCCCAAGAGCAGCCTGAGCAACACCCCTTCGGTATAAGGCCTTTAAATGGCCAGGTTCCCGCTCCAGCACCCGGTCACAGCTCTGGGCTGCCAGCTGGGGCTGCCCTAGCAACAACTGGCAGGCGGCGAGATTGGCGTGAAGAATAGTTCGTTCTGGAGGGCCAGGTGGGGGTAACGTCAACAGGAGCCGGAGAGCCCGTCCGTAGCATCGGGCAGCCCCTTGGGGGTTCCCAGCTCTAAACAGCTCTGTGCCCCTTGCATGTTCTTCCCTGGCCAGGGCCTCTTTCTCACTAACCTCCAGCTCCCAGGAGTCCCGGCCTTGAGTGAAGGATTCCAGTCTGAGCCTGCCAAGGGGTGCAGTGCACCCAGGGAGCTGAATTTCTGCTTCCTCACCTTGACACATGGACTCCAAGCACTTTTCTGTGAGTTCCCCCCAAGTTTTTTCCCTCCATGACCCTATACCTATAGTTAGTTCTGCCCAGCCCTCTGGCAGCCCCGACCCAAAAGGAAACCCTAGAACCAACACTCGGCATTGAGAGCCCAGCTTGGGTTTGTCCAAGCCGTGGCCATGGACTATTATCTTCTTGACAAAGCTCCCATCCGGACAGTACCAGAGTCGAGAAGCTTCGAGAGGTTCTGCCATCTCATTGGTTGGGTCGTGGGGTTTATCAGAGCCTCCTTCGAGTCCAGCCATCAGTTTTTCAAGCCCCTGAGGATCCTCTGCAATTTGATTGGCTGGATCTGGCCTCACTCCCAGATCCAGGGCTTCAGTGGGAGGGCCTCCCGGGTGAGTGGTGGCATCTGGGTTCGGAGGAGGAGGGTTCTCTGCCCATTGTTGTGATGGAGAAACGTCCTTCCCTCTCACTGGACTGGCTGGTGACGTCTCCATTAGGCTGCTCGATCCCCTTCAGCCTAGGTGAAGGGTTCTGAATGTTAAGTGATGGACCAAGTTCAGATCAGCACCTGAAAAGAAAACTCAAACAATGCTAACTACAGGAATTCCTAGTTAAGACTCCCATCCTTTCCCATTCCCCGCTAAGACCCGGGCTCATAATCCTGAAAGTCTCCCTTTTCCCTTTCCAAATCCAGGTTCCAACCGGTCCCTAGTCTAGAACTAGAAATTCTATAACTAAAACTGTAAATTGGGAATCGTCCCAACTATGGACACTCGATCCAGTAAGAAAGTACCTGAGTGACCAAACAGCCTGGCATGGAGGTCTAAGCCACATATTCGGAGCTAAGGGCCCACTGACCACCATGTGCAGTCCTGGTCCCAGGCAGGGCAGGATGGCCTGGGGAGTCTGACAACCCGCCCTGGAGCCCGCGCGACTGCGAAGCTGGTCCGAAACATGACAGCCAATCCGGAGGACGCAGAGGTTGCTCAGCCCTTCTAGTGAACGAAGTCGTTTCTTCCGCAACCGAGAAGCTCCTCACCTTAGCAACCGAACTAGACCTAAGCAATCGAACTAGGCCAAATCGAACCGAAGCAGATAGGCTCTGGTCGACAGGTTTGCAATGTGAAGACCAAGTGAATGGTAAACCTGTATTAATGAAGGAGTAGAGGTAGAGCGCTTGCCCAGCACGGGGAAAGGCCCGAGTTCGAACCTCAGTATTGAAAATAGATAAATAAATAAGTGGAGAATTTGGCCATCCCAGGCCCTCCTATGCTATTATTCCTAAACTCGTATATCCTGGTTGGATATCCCTGTCCATTCTTTCTCATTGCTTGTTTAATTCAGGGTGCTCCAAAATACCCCATATCCCTGGATTTTTTTCTCACCACCTAGCCCTATTCCCTTGGGGGACCACCAGAGGCTTCTCAACTTTCACCCCATATCTGTTATGGCCTTTCAATTACCCCCCTTGATCTAGGAATCTTAGTGTTTCTCTGACTTTATGTACATGCCTATCCCCTGGGGAAGGCATTACATTGCAGACCCGGATTTAGAAAGTCTGACGTGGAGTCTGTGATTCCTAGATGGTGCTCACAACATCAGCCTACACACCTCGAACCTTGTGATCCCTCCGTGACCTCGTTGCAGTCTTTGCCCCATGCTCTGAGATAGCTTAGTTTGTCCTACATTCTGCATAGGTAACTGGTACAGCCTGCTCCACTGAGTGGAGCCGTGGAATGCTGGCCCCCTCCTCCCTACGGAAGGTGTAGACAGATGCCTTTTGTGACTCAGGCTTGCTTGGCCTGCAATTCTTCAAGGAAAAATATCTTTGGTCAGTACCTCACTTTGGCTCTTCCTCCTGCTCCTCTGAGTCCCATGTATTCCCTCCTGGCCTGGATCTCACTATATAGCTGAAGATGACCTTGAACTCCTGATCCTCCTGAGTGCTAGGATTACAGGCATGTAGCATTATCTGTTTTTATGGGGTGTTGGATACCAAACCCTGGGCTTCATTCATGGTAGGTAGGCAAGCACTCTACCAAATGAGCTACATCCCCAGCCCTGACTCCTTTTCCAGTCTGCTGTGTGATAACCCCCTCATTACAATATCCACCACAACTGTGCCAAGACAGCTGGGGCTGTGCTTGTGCGTGTATCCGCGCAGTTTCATTATTAATTAGTTACAATTGAGAGTCCAAATAGTTTTCTCTATTTGTGTTGCGTTTCACATCATTGATCTAGATTTTTTTTTTTTTCATCTCTAAAGTTTTATTTCTGGTTCGGAGCCAGAGTGTCCTTAGTTCCCTTCCTCCCAGTCCCTGCCATGGCCAACTGCTGTGGTTCCTGGAATTTCTTAACTCATCTCTCCTCCTTTTTCCTCTTCAGAGATTTCAAGGAGAATAGGAAGTATAGAATAATTCACTCCTTAATCCTTGGACAAAGATTGTTAATGTGTATACACAATACACACAGTATCAACTGAGATGGTGGTTCCATGACTTTTCAAAGATCAATTACAGGGCACATGCCTATAATCCAAGCATTTGGAAAGTTGGAGGCAGGAGGATCCAGAGTTCAAAGTTATCTTCAGCTATAAAGTAAGTTCAAGGCTAACCTGGGTTACATGAGACCTTGTCTCAAAAAGGCAATAAAGAGGGTCTGGAGAGATGGCTCAGCGGTTAAGAGCACTGGCTGCTTTTGCAGAGGACCCGGGTTCTGTTCCCACGACCCACATGGCGGATCACAACCATCTTTTAACTCCAGTTCCAGAGGATCTGACAACCTCTTCTGGCTTCCTGGGACACTTTATGCATGTGGTACACTTACATATATGCAAGCAAAACACTCATACATGTAAAATAAAAATAAATATTTTGTTTTAGTTTGGATTTTTTTTTTAAATGTGTATGCGTGTATTGCCCGCATGTAGGTAAGTGCACCCGTGTCGTGCAATGTCCGCAGAGGACAGAAGAGGCTGTTGGATCCCCTGGAAGTGGAGTTACGGACAGTTGTTAGCTGCCATATGGGTGCTGGGATTCGAACTCGGGTCTTCTGCAAGAGCAGTCCATGTTCTTAACTGCTGATCCATCTCTCCAGCCCCTAGTTTGGATTTTTGAAACAAGGTCTCCCTGTAGCCCCAGCTGACCTGGAACTATGTAGACCAGGTTGGCCTCGAACTGAGAGATCCACCTGCCTCTGCTTCCCAAGTGCGCCACCACACCTGGCTAAAATAAATATCTTTAAAAATGAAAAAAGCTGGGCGTGGTCGTGCATACCTGTAATCCCAGATGTACATAAACTTTGGTTACTTCTGAGGTTTTAGTTTAAAAAAATTTTTTTTAAATGAAAAAAGATGCCGGGCGTGGTATTGCACACCTTTAGTCTCAGCACTCGGGAGGCAGAGGCAGGCGGATCTCTGTGAGTTCAAGGCCAGCCTGGTCTACAAAGTAAGTTCCAGGCCACCTGGGGCTACAGGGAGACCCTGTCTCAAAAAGACCAAAAAAGAAAAAAGAAAAAAAAATATAGGGCTGGGGCAGATGACTGTAATCTTGTAAGATAATTCAGGAGTCTGAGGCAGGAGAATCATGAGGCCAGCGTGGGCTATACATGAATGTTTCAAAATGAACAAAAAGTTGATTTCAAAAATTGAACAAAGATTGATACCTGGGAAAGAGAGCCTTGGGTTCTACTGCCCCTGTGACCAGATAATGAACCTTATTCCAGAACAATTCTTTGCTACAAATCGTTACATTTTACAACTGACTATAGCTACAATTCCAGATGATCTGATGCCCTCTTCTGGCCTCCTCAGGAACTGCAGGCAGCTGGGCACATTGTCCTGGAGCTGAGGGATGAATGAATGCTTGTGCTCGGATCACAGATCCTTTTTACACAACACAGGCCTTCAGTCGAGGGAATGCTGCCACCTGTGGTGGGCAGGTCTTCCCACCCCAATTAACCTCAAGATAATCTCCCACAGGCATACCCAAAGAACCATTTCCCCAGTGATTCTAAATCTTAACAAATTGACAAGATTAGTCAACACAGCCTGTAATCCTACCTGGAATCCTAGTACTTGGGAGGCTGAAGCTGGGCATGTGTGGAGGTCAGAGGACAACTTTCAGAAGTCAGCTCTCTCCTTCCACCATGCCAGTTTCAGGAATCAAACTCAGGTCATCAGGCTTGGCAGCAAGCACCCTTACCCACTGAGCCATTTTGCAGTCCCACACTTGCTCTTTATTTTACTTTGGTCTTTTTGAGACAGGGTCTCCCTGTAGCCCCAGGTGACCTGGAACTCACTATGTAGACCGGGCTGGCCTTGAACTCACAGACATCCACCTGCCTCTGCTTCCCAAGTGCCAAGATTAAATCATGTGCCATTATGCCCAGCTTATTATTTTTTTTTAAGATTTATTATTTATGCTAGGCATGGTGGTGCATGCTTTTAATCTCAGCATTCAAGAGGCAGAGGCAGGCAGATCTCTGTGAGATCCAGGCCAGTCTGGTCTACATAGTGAGTTCCTGGACAACTGTGGCTACAGGGAGACTTTGTCTCAAAAATACCAGAAATAAAAATTATTTATTTATTTTGTATGAGAGTATGGTGTGTGCACCAAGTGTGTGCAGGCTCCCAAGGAGGCCAGAAGAGGGCACTGGATCCTCTGGCACTGGAGGTACAGGTGGCTCTAGAGAGTCCTCTAGAAGAGCAGACCATGCTCTTAACCATTGAGCCATCTTGCCAACCTCATATGCGCCCTTTAAATGGGCGAAATAGGATTCCATTCTGTTTTGCTTTGAGACAGGGTCTCACTGTGTGGCCTGACCTGGCCAAATGCTGTGGTTAAACATGAACCACCATTCTCAGCTAGAATTATTATTGTTTTAAAGAGGTCACATGTATTCCAAGCTGGCCTCAAACTCAGTATGTAGCCTAGAATGACTGAATTTCTGATCCTCCCGCCTCCACCTCCTGAGTGCTGGGATTTAGATATGGGCCATGGGGCTGGAGAGATGGCTCAGTAATTAAGAGCCCTTGCTGCTCTATCATGAGGACCAGAGTTTGTACACTAGTACTCACCTCAGGCAGCTCACAGTGCCTATACCTCCAGCACCAAGGAATCCCTCTCCTGGCCCCATGGGTACCTGCATGTGCATATATATAGTCACTCTGACAGACAGACATACACGTAGATAGTAAAAATAAAATAACTTATGGATCTGGCAAGATGGCTCAGCTAGTAGAGGTCTTGCCACCAAGCCAGAGGGACCCGTATTTAATCCCTGAGACCCACTTGGTGGAAAGAGAGAACTGATTCCTACAAGCTGTCCTCTGACCTCCACATCATCACCATGGCACATTTCTGAGTACACACACACACACACACACACACACACACACACACAAAAATAAATAAGTAAATAAATAAATAAATGTAATAGCAAAAAATTATGGGCCGCCATGCCTACTTTATGCAATCCTGGAGATGGAACCCAGGACTGCCAGCTAAGTTGCATCCCCAGTCCTTATGACTGATTCTTTTCTGAGTCAATCAGTAATCCTTACTAGAGGCTAGAGGTGAGCTTCAGAGGCAAAGTTTGTGTGTCAGAATGTGCCACTTCCAGTCCTCTCCCAACCAAAACAATTTCTTAGGAAATACTCAGGATTCATCAGTGAAGTGTGGAGGGAAATTCAGGGACTCCTCCCAGGGAGTCAAATAGAGGTCAAGTGTGTTTCAAAGTTCTCCACATGCAAGGGAAAATGGGTAAGTGGCTGGGCCCCCCAATTTCCAACTGAGAGGCTTCAGGGATGGAGGGGTTCAGATTGCTTGTGCCTTCAAAGATGGCCGTTTTTCGGACATGCAGAGGTTAGAGGCATTTATGGCAGGTGAAGCAGGTAAAGTCCGGAGAGGAAGCCTCCTCACATCCAACCTTACATGCCTCTTGTGTCTGTCTCGGCTCACAAGACACACACTCACCCTGTGTGTGCTGCCCTGTTGCACGCCCGGGACCAAC